GAAAAAGACTTTTAATTAAAAAATGATCTAAGAATTCTATATTTTAACTTCATATACAACATTTTTTAATGAAGAAATTTTCACTAATGCATTGCTTTTAGCTGTAATCCTTTGCCTTAGCCTAAAAATGAGAGGAACAGCTATCTTGGCTAAAAATGAAATTCTCATTTTACTTAACGCCAGCAACTGATGCATAGCAGAAATAATTCCTTTATTCTCAGTGCTTTGACGAAAATTGTTGAAGGCGGTTATTCCGACCGATTTACTACTCACTATGGGACTTAAATATAGCTGGTTTAGGATGCTTACTAAGAATAAATGGTATCCATTTGACAATACTGATGAATTATTCAAGAGGATAATATTGTAGATAAAATTGTCGTTAAGGTTATTCTTTTATTTCGTCTGTTAACTCTATTCATTTACGAATTTTCCAACGGAATTGGATTACATTTTGATTGACTCGATATTTTTAAAGTAAATTTGAATCAATGTTAGAGAAGAAAATTAATACTATGTATCTTGTGACCATGAGACAATGTAAAGGATCCCAACCAGGCGAGAATGAAATCAAATGTATTAGGATAAGTCACAGAGTTACATGGGAAACTAAAGATATGAAAGATAAAGGCTTATAAGAATAAATCAGGTCAAACTTACCTCAGCTTTGGCCGTAAAACATGATCTGGAAGTGTCCCATTAAGATAATGATCAATTACAAGATCAACATCATTATTATATTCTTCCAAGGCCATCTAAAAGTGAATGGAAAAACAGGGAGTTACATGCCTAATAGGATGGTAAAAGTTTGTGCCTCCAAATAGCTAAATAAAATGACCAAAACTGCAATTTCGTTATATGACAAAGAAAAGGAATAGGCTATGGCTGATGCTGGGAGCGCCAGCGAAGTCCAGAGACATTAAAGTTCGGCAAGCTAAATATAATATGATGCAAAATAGAATAGAATAGCCTGAGTCTGGGCTTTGTACCAACAAATACATTTGAGTCTCAAACACCGATTAACTCACAAATAAAGCTAGAGTGTGAGAATGTCAAGCTAGTATAAAAAAACATTTATAGAATATGTATCAGAAGTAAAATAAAAATTGAAAACATATATGCTAAGTTTCTAATGCTACGGAAATTTGAATATAAATTAATTGGCAGCGAGACAGAAAGTATTTCGTTTGATACATTTTTTAAGATAGTTCAATCTACCTTTTTAGCAAATTTAGTAACTTGATTATTTGTCATTTAAAGTGAACATTTTCTTCATTCCCGATGTTTGAGCCTTAATCGTTGTCTCTTCTATAAGAAATTGAGCTTGAACTATATTAAGCAAGGATTCGAAATAGAAAAGATAACGGTCGATTAAGATCACTAAATTAGGATATTCCATATTATGTTGCGCTCCACGCTCTCATTTAATTAGCCTTCTTATTCACCTTCTCGTTTGTTTGTGGCCAATTAGATGTTTGGTTCACCTCAGCAAACGCAATCACCAATTATACAATGTTTCAGTATCCTCTACTGGTGAGGTCAGATACCCCAATATTCAGGGCGCGAAAGAATTTTAAGGAGCCAGATTCAGACGAAGGTAATGAATATAAATGAAATGGTTTAAGCCTAATGGAAAATATGCATTTGTACCATTAAATATTTCCTTTGTATTTGTTCCTATGAAGGCACAAATGATAGAATATGCCACAATTAAATATTTCAAAAACAATAGTTGCGTAAAAATGTTAACTATGACAACAATGGGCTCACTTGAATGACATCATCGTCCAAATTCTCAGCCACATCCTTTACGAGACGAAAGGCTTCAGACCTATGAGTGTTTGGCGAGGATAACAATTCATCAAGAGAATGAAGACGTTCGGTAGGCTTGGAAGGAATTGAATCAAGTAATGGAGATCTGAGCACCTTAGTAGCAGAAGTTGGAAAATCGTCGGCCAGTTGCTGGAAGCCATCCACTAGGTATTGCAAGGCAACCTCGTCTCTGTTGCGAAACAAGATAAAGGGCTGTATAAGGACTAATAAGGCAAAAAGGAAGTACTTTACAAGGAATGGCTTATATCCAAGGCGTAAGATGGGTGAATCAATAGGAGTGTCAAAAATGAAACATGAAATAATGAATCAAACTAATATTAGTGTTAAAAAGTTATAGAAACATGAAAGCAGTCTTTAATGGTCACTAACTTCCGATCGAAAAGACCAGTAAGGCCCTAGTGATTCTGAGGACCCAGCGGAATGGAGTGACCAACATTAACGCGTTCCCAATAGCAAAGTATGAAAGCATGATAAATCAATAATGTAAATTTCGTTTTAAGTAGGTTTTCATCGTCGATCGCTATAGCAAATATAAGTTTGCTTCATCAGCAATCCCACCGCAGAATGTGATATGGATAATATCTGCCCTGTGAAGTAAGAACACTCGTGGCAATATGGCGTAGTCGAGATTATAAACTGCACCGTCACGGTTCGGCTCCCGCTGAGGGTGTCGATCAGACCTAGGCGAGGTCGAAACTGCAGTCCACTCTGGATGAGGACACCTAATAGGAAGTCAAGGCTATGTGAAATTCAATGGAAACGTGAGCTCTACTCATATCATTATGACAAAATTCAACTACCAATTAACTTTAAACGAAATGGATTGAACATAACTAAATAATCTATAAGCTGGAAGAAAAGAAATAACAAATGTCTTCGTTTCGAAGGGTACCCATAATAAACGTCTATTAATCTTAATGAAATTTTTAGAGGGAGCAATCGAATAAGGAAGCATTTTAAAATAGTATCAAAAAGGCGTTCACCATAAATATTACATCAAGGAGCATTCATTTTCCTGCCATAAGGCAAAGTTTACTGCTAACAAAATAAATAATGATACGTTAAAAAGCTGTGCGTTTAAAAAACCTATCAAAGCACTATCAAATCCCCAAAACAATCGAAGACCAAATATTTTTTGTGTTGGTTCGACCTTGCTTTCGCAACTTGGTTGGAGCGTCAGGGAAACCTTGTGGAATGTACCTAGCCATAATATTCGTGATTTCCAGTATTACAACATTGGCTGGGTACATTCCCTTAGGTCTAATCAACACTATAACGCTAAAGAAGACTGCGATCAAACAGAAGACCACATCATCTTGGTGTTCATATCAACAAATAAATATTTTGTCTAAAAAACATATGTAAACCAGCAATATCTAACATTTTTAATGAGCAATCCCTAGTCTTATCAAAATGGAAAAAACAAAAGAACTAAAATTCAAAAAATAAATGGACAGGCAATACATCCTAAATAAAAAATAGTAAACCAATATAATTAAATAAGGAACAAAGGCGAAGGACTAAGAGTGAGCGATAAGTACGCACTAGGTGACGCCATACAGGAGAAAATTCGTATTTAAGCGATGAGATATAATCAACACCATAGTACTAAATAGAATGGCATTTAAAGTATCACTATTTTTTTTAATAACCTGTAAAACAAGGTTCACGCAATTAAATTCAGCCCCAGCAAATAAAGTGGCAAGCCCTCTAGATATTTCACCTTAAAGCGAGATAAAGTATGATTTTTTCATCATAGCCTTGGTAGCAAAAACACTCTCAAGAAGTGTAATTCAAAGAAGTATAAATGCATAAGAATAACTTACATAAAATTTCGATCGACGATGGAACGAAACAGAGATAAGTCTTCTTGGATGGGATATAGCAATTGAAGAGCACTTGCAAAGCTAAATAGTAGAAGCAAGTTAAAAAAATATGAGTCCCGGGAAAAAATTGTGAATGCGGTACGTTTAAGAGAGATTATGTTTGGTCTAAGACAAAGTTGTATAGTATTAAATAATAAAAAATGGTAAATAATGGTCCTCAATCGGTTTAGACTTCAGGATATTAACGTTGAAAATATAAATCTCGAGTTTTAGCTTCATAATTATATATGACATAATCATAGCACATTATGCATAGAATGGAAAAATTAAGGACTATTTTTTAAAGTTAGGAGGACCCTCATTTCGGATGAAAGTTGATGAAGAAGAGATTCGTTAGTCGATCTCACCAGATGAGGACAATGAATCTCGTACTGCAGCCGTTTGGCTTTTATACGATATTCATGTTAACGCAGTCCACGAAACTTCCTACCTCGTTTCAGGTGAAAACGTGCTGAGCTTTCGTCCATCATATGATGGACATCATCAGAACTGGGTGTCATTCCTGTAAAAGTTTCACTTAAACACTAAAGTAAAAACACTATCCAGCTCTATCTCACTTCTTATATAAAATCAATCAAGCCAAAAAATTAAAAATTAAAAACCTAGATAGATCGATATAGAGTGGTTTGGTTAATTTTCTTTCATACTGGTCCTGTTATTTTTGCTCGATTGTATGAGTATGTGTATTTGTGCGTGTTAGCGTCTATATGCAATACGGTTCCTGAATCAGAGTTGTCTAAGTTTTAATCTCAGGTTCTGATCCTCAAGACCTAATGACTCAAGAGAAATCCTTGACCGAGACTGCGTAGGTCCGTAAACAAGTATGGTTAAGATAATGAAATATCAGTTTGTAAGCCTAAAAATCAAGTTACGAAAACATTTTTCCTAACCTTTCAGTCTAGGATAATTAACGTTTAAACCTCCAAGGAAAGACAATACTGGGGTTGCGTAATCTGACATGTCTGGTTAAGTTGATGAGCTTAATCTAACAAGCTGTACGAGTGATTGAAGTTAGAACTATCCCCGAGCAGACAAATTGACTGGTTTGGATAATTCTCTTTCATACTGGTCCTGTTATTTTTGCTCGATTGTATGAGTATGTGTATTTGTGTGACTCAATGTCTGCACTTCCATTCGTCCACAATGTTAGAATAAGCTCATCAACCGAACCAGACATGTATGATTACGCAACCCCAATCTTGCCTTTCCCTGGAGGGTTAAACGTTAATGACCCTCGACTAAAAGGTTAGGAAAAGTGGTTTCGTAACTTGATTTTCATGTTGGGGGGAACTTCATTTCGAATGAAAGTACATGATGAAGAGATTCGTTTGTCGTTCTCACCAGATGA